CACAGGACCAGGTGCACACAGGACCAGGCGCACACAGGATCAGATGCACACTGGTGCAGGCGCACACAGGACCAGGTGCACACAGGACCAGGCGCACACTGGTGCAGGTGCACACAGGACCAGGTGCACACTGGTGCAGGTGCACACAGGACCAGGTGCACACTGGCCCAGGTGCACACTGGTGCAGGTGCACACAGGACCAGGCACACACTGGTGCAGGTGCACACAGGACCAGGCGCACACTGGTGCAGGTGCACACAGGACCAGGCGCACACTGGTGCAGGTGCACACAGGACCAGGTGCACACTGGTGCAGGTGCACACAGGATCAGATGCACACTGGCGCAGGCGCACACAGGACCGGGTGCACACAGCCACTGGCGCACACAGCCACCGGCGCACCCAGTGTGAGTGCTGCAATCGCAAAAGCTTCTGGCAGCTTTCTGCAGAGTCCTCCATGGGGATCCTGGGTCCAACACGAAACCCGGCCTGCGGGGCGATGGGAAACCGTTCTATAGTACCCGGAACACAGTCACAGCTTAGCAACCAACACACCTGAAAAGCGAAGTAGGTTCCCGGCTACTGACTGACTTCTAGAGAAACCAAGAAAAAGTCCTTGTAGCGACTCATCCCTGCTGGAGAGGGGAAGTCCGCAACGCAGGTCTGCACCCTCGGCTTCATGTGCAGCCATCCCTTGCATGTGAAGCCATTAGAAGAAGACAAAAACCTTTCTCGTTTCAGGATGGTAGCCAGGTGCTCACAGCTAAGCACTTTTATGATACCCAATAAAACGACATAAAAAACCAAACATTTACTCGACACTAGGGATGATTTTCAAGAGACTTGGCAGGAAATGGAGGCCTCGGTGGGGAGTCGGCTTCAAGCAATGCTGCTGCCCTCTACTGCGGCCCCGAGCTCCCCGCTCATGCTCTCTGGGCCCTCCCTGGAGGAAAAGTGGGGTGCCCAGCTCCTGTGGGGTAAAGAAACTGAGAAACTTATCTGCTAGCACTCATTGCAAAGGTGTTGGCATCGAACCTGAGGGCCTTTCGAGGCCAGGAACATGGCTGTGCTCTCCCCCAGACAACGACAAAATCCTCTGAGGGGATGTTAGTAAGCGAGAATTAGCTTGGAGGAACTACTGCCCAGACACATTATTCATTATTATGTGCAGTACTCACACGGGACGGGGGGTGGGAAAGAAGGGTGGGGCCACATGAATTCCTTCTTCCATTTGTCTACATTTCCTCTGGACTCTAAAATGCATTAACAACTTTTAAATAATTATAATTATAATAATGCACTATAACTTGCACACTGGCTTCCCATTAATCTACAACAGGTTTCATGTGTTACTGATTTTAAATTGCTAATAAGAAAGGAAAATGCAATTGAGATCTAGGAGGATTCATTTGTTAAATATGTTAATATCAGAATCCCTCGCACATTTCAGAGACACCGTGACGTTGCCTAATTCCCATGTTCTCTTTGCAAGTGCTGTTTGGCAGGGCTTTTGAAATGGCTGAGCCTTTTTAGATTTGGGGGAAATGTTAAAATTTCACATAGCTATTTTCATGATATAAAAATAGCCCCAGGCTCATGACGGAAGGTTTAGAGAAGCGATTTCATGTCAATGTTCGCAGAGCGCGGACTGAGGGCTGTGTCCAGGAGCCTGGCTCAAGTGCTGCACCTGGATTGACTCACTGACTGCGCCCAGCTCCCGAGGAGGCCCGGGGCGAGGTCACCTGGCCTCCGTCTGCAGGCCCAGGTCTACACGCCCAGAACCCTGTGCCGAGGGCTGTCGCTGTGCCATGATGCTCCAAGCTCGGGGGTAAAACCCATCCATGATTTCTTCAGTCAAGCCTGCCCTGCCGCAGAGCACACGTCACAGGCAAGGAGCAATTCCTAAGAACACTACACCCTTTACAGTTATTTTAAATCATTACGCACCACGGGCTCTGGGTCCCTGTGGAACAATTAGCAAAACTCAGAAGTCATCTGCGGCATAAGCTAGCTTTCTGAGGAGTCCAAGTCTCGGGACTTGTTAATGCCTAGCGTGCATTAACAAAAAAATAAAAAATACGAGGAAAGAGATAACACAGATGTTTGAAATGGTTTGTGTTAAAGATGGAAGCGTTTTTAAAAAATTTTTGCAAATTTTAGCAATGAGTCAGTGGCGTGGTGAGCAGATTCCCCGAATGAACTGAGTGCCACTCTCACCGAAGTTTAAAAATAAAGCAGACGCACTCCATCCCTGTGCTCCGCAGGGCTTATCTACTGGCCCGGACACCCGCAGATGCCAAGTGAATGACCGACTCCCCTCGGGCCCACGGCTCGTACTTTAATTAAAATCAGACTCAGTGAAAGACAAATACTTTAGTGCTTGGCTTCATCTCTTGGCCAAGGCCAACAAACACAACTGCTTGAGATACAATTTCTCTTTTAAATTTAAAAGATAGTGAAATATTTCAGACTGCCTGGTCAGGACTCGAAAAGCAAAAATTACAAATTGTCATTATTCATGTGTATTGGCAGAATATAAAACAATTCACAGACATATTTAGAATCGTACATAAATCATAAATCAAATACTTAAATTTTTTTTTTTAAACTGCCCTGTCTTTCATTCCCTAATGTTCAAGCTGCCATTTATAATTTATCCAGCAGTCTGGGATCAGGCAGGCTAGATAAATAATATGTCTAACAACTTTCCACAGCTACTGTGGGAGAGACCCAGTCCAGGTGTTCCCCCAAGACAATGTAACACACTTTCATTAAAACGCTAGATTAAGCCACCATTACCCTGCTTACAAATCAGACTAAAAGAAAGGAAGTAACTAATATTACTTTTGATGCCTAACATCAAAGTGCACAACCTGAACCACTGTTCATGGGCTTCTTTTTCCAAGCTGGGGCTCAGAAAAATTTACTTGACTTAGCTTTCTAGATTAGGCTGGAGTGGAAAGGAAAACTAAATCCAAGGAGCACACCCACCTCGTGCAAGTCCAGCCCGGTAAATGACATAACTTTACACCTGACCTGTTTTCCTGCTACTGTGGGACATGTAACACACAAACAAAACTCACTCCGTGTTAGCTAGTGGCTCAGGTTCTTCCACTCACGCCCTGCCACACCACCGTGACAAATGACAGCAGGACTGGTCCAAGAGCTCGTTTTTCAAGTAAGATGGGAGGTTCCTACACAGAAAGCCCTTGCACTAATTTCTGCAGTCTTGTGAAACGCGATTCCTGTTTTCATGCGTTTCTGTACCGATCTAGTGCCGGCCCGTGCCGCGGCTCGCAGGGCTTTGGAGCAGGGCATCTGGCTGGGACCTTCGATTTCAAGTCCTTGGGTCCCTGAGGGCCCCCGTGCCGGCTGGCTTAGACTCTGTGCGCGCCAGCCCAGGCCTTGCTTGCAGTCGCACTTCAGTTTAGATCAGCCAAGCTGATCCAGCTCCCAACTCGAAAGCGGCTGTTTTGTTTGGCACTAGCAGGGCTCACTCCTCCCCGTCTCCCAGGGCGGCCTCCTGGTCCCAGGCAGGGCTCTTGAGCCCCCACCCGGGCGGGGGACCCAGGGAAACATGCGCAGGAAGGCTGCGGACGGGAGCTGGACCGGAGGGAGCCGCCCTCGGGTCTGCCCGGCCCCCAGCTCGCGGTGCCCGTGGTGGCCACTTGTTTGTGCGCAACCCTGACACCCGCCCAGGGCGGCGCGCAGGCCCGCGTCTTCCCAGAAGTTCTCCCGCCGCGCGCGAGCCCAAGCCCAGGAGCACCCGCCGAAGTCAAGGAGACCAAGCCAAGTGCGCGCGACACCCAGGCGGGGACACCGGGCAGGGACAACCGCAGGGGAGTGGGCGAGGGTCGCGGACACTTGTGGCGACCGCGGTCTCCGCCTTCGCTTTAGCGGAGGCGGCCGAAGTAGAAAGGAAAGGAGGCCGCCCGGGTGCTCGGAGGGGACCCGCCTGCCCCGGACCTCCACCTCCACCCGCGATCGCGGCAGCGCGGGGGGGCGTGGCGGGTCGCGCCGGACCGGGCCCAGTACGGGGATCCCCGGATTGTGGGCTCCTCCCGATCCCGGCTGCCGAAACTCACTCGTCTGGGGGCCACTAGTCGCCGTTCGCCGCCGCCAGTCTCTGCGGGCCGGGCCTCTCCGGATCCCGATCCTCTCAGCCAGATCCCGATCCGGATCCGATCCGCTGGCCCCGCCTCGCCGCCCCGCCCCGTCGCCCCGCCCCGCCCCCAGGCCCGGAGTACGCGGCGTTCAAGGCCGGGACCCCAGCCCCGCCTCCCAGACGCGACTCCCGGCCCCCACCAAGCGAGGCTCCCCTCTAGAGATTTCCGAGGAACACAGTCCCGGGCCTCGGAAAGCACCCGCGGCCACAAGTGTACCCGTGAGGACGGCCTAGCTCTCCACAGCACCACCCCCAGCTAGGAGATTGAGATTTCTGGAGGCCCAGAACTTGGCCAACACCTAGGACTTAATTGGATTTGGATGGTCTTTCCTGGATGGATTTGGGGATGGGTTAGACAGAAGAGCAACTTTTACTTCCAGGCTTCATTCTCCTCATAAGTCATTCAACAAACGGTACTGAGCACCTATTTGGGGGCCAGCACGGTAGTAAAGATGCTGAGGTCACCCGAGCCCACGGGAAGGGCATGGGGGCTGGCTTTCAAGAAGCTCCAGATGGCGCAGCAGGTGGATACCCAGAAATCTCCCTGCCCGGCACACTTCCGGGGTGGGCTGTGCTGAATTGGTTTGCAGGTCTGAGACCTAGGTGGCTGGTTGGTTACAGGCAAGAACAAGCAGGGTGCTGGAGGCAGAGTGGGCCTGGGGTCGGGGCCCTGGGGTGGAGCTGGGCTGCAGGCCTGCTGCAGAGTGCTCGGTTATCCCAGCGTGGGCTGCCTGTGAGCGGCCTTGTGGTTGCAGCAGCCTGCACGCGCGCTCTGCAGCGCAGGCCATGGCCTGCCCGCCAGGCTCCGCTTCCTGCCCGACCCAGCCTCTGGAGAGCTGGGCTGGCAGGCAGAGCTGCACCCTGAGCCGCCCTGAGGCGCCCAGCCGAGCCTCTCTGTAGCGTGCCCAGCTCCGGGGCTCACGCGGCGGATGATAGCAGACTGCCGCCAGAAACTGCTGCCCGCAGCTGAAGAGGAGCCTGGGGACTTTCGCAGCCTTTGCAACCCGTGGGTGGAGATCAGTGGAAGCGTGGCCTTCCCTCCAGCACCTCTGTTCTTTACTTCACTTTTTTTCATGTGTCATTTTCAGTGTATCTTGTATGAAATTCATGGCCTCTAGCAAGTTGAAAATAGGACACGGTTGGGCATGTTATCTGAGGTGTCTCGATTCTGGGTTCTGAGTCTTCAGATTCAACCAACAGCAGGTGGAAAATATTTTTGAAAAAATTCATATGGGTGCTGTCATTATCCCATTTGTTTATTCATTTATTTGGTATGGGGGACCAAACTCAGGACCTTGTGCTTCTCAGGCAGGCACTTAAGCCCCTGAGCTATCTCCCCGCCCCTCATATGTTAACTGTAACACATAGATGTGTATGTATTAGGTGGTGGAAGTCACCCACACCGGGGAGGGTCTGTGATTACATGCAAATGTGACATCAGTTACAGGAGAGTCCACTGGGTAGGACAGGGGTGTCCAGGAGCCCCTTGGAGAATAGCGCGAGCTAACGTTTAACCAGCGCTTCCTGCAGGGCAGATGTGACTGCAAGTGCCTTGAATGCATGAAACCTCCTAATCTCCTGCCAGCCCTGGCCAGGAGGCACAGGGAAGTGAAGGCCCTCGGCAGGGAGTGACAGCTGGGACCCAGGCTCGCAGAACAGCTCTCCATTCTGTGCTTGCACGAGATCCTGGTGCTTCCTAAGGTCCGGGTTGCTGCTCCTCCTGCCTTTCGCCTGCGTTCTTTGATGGATTCCCTTCTGTCTCTCTTTACACTCGGTACCCTTGTGGCTCCATTGCTGAGTGCTGTTCTGTTCAAGTCCTGCCTGGCTTCGGCCATCACTGGCAGCTCGGCCATGTCCCCTGGGACCCTTCTCGGTTTTGGGGCACCCAGTTTCGGCTGCGCCTGCTGCCTGTCACACCTGTGTGTCACGGTGTCACCTTCGACTGTAGGATGTGTGAGGACAGCAGGGAGTGCCTTATGAGTGTCCACCGGCCTCACACCGGGCTTTCAGATGAGAGGTGACAGGCGAGCACGCAGGTAACGCTATTCTAGCTCCTTTGCCCCAGATTGAGACACCTCTGGCTTGGCTCTGAGCCGTCCACAGAGCTTCCTCCATGGCCGGGCCCAGCTCCTCCCTCTCTCTGGGGCCTTGGCTTCTCAGCCTCTCTAGTTCCACTTCCCGTTTCCCTCTAGTTCTTCATGGGAACGTGCCCTTGGCAGGACCTGTAGCACGATGTGTGAGGCCCGACCCGGATGGAGAATCATACACCACTTCAGACTTCCTAAGCGCATGCCCGGGCATTCAGCGAGGCTGGCACTTGCAGATCTTAGACCATCTCCTTTTGAGTTCTCCTTTAGGCCTGTTTCTGATCAGTCCTGCGATAACGAAACTTAGATTCAAGTAGGAACCAGAGGGTCTAGGCACTGCCCAAGCTGCGTTTGTGACTCGGCAGGACCCACACCCTGAGCCTCAGAGGGTTGCCGTAGAGCAGGAGGAGTAGGAGGGGGAGTTGAGGGGGAGGAGAAGGAGGAGGAGCAGGAAGAGGAGGGGAAGAAGGAGAAGGAGGGTGTTAAGTACAGCCACATGGAAAGAGCTTTAGCTGCAGCAAGAGGCCTGGGAACGCAGAGGGTCAGCATAAGCCAGGGCTTTGGCCTGCAGTGTCTCCACACCTCCACACCTAGGTGGCCTGCAGCGTCTCCACACCTCCACACCTAGGTGACTGGCGAGTGGTGAAGTGGTTCCCCAATAGGGACTGGGGCTGCATCAGCTCTGCCCCAGGTACCAGGAGAGAAGTTCCCAGCATGCATTGCAGACAGGCTACTCTGAATGGCACCTCGGGATAGGATGGTCAGGGTAGGGACACACAGATCCACTCCAGTGGACCCAACCTGGTCTCTACAGTGCATTGGGACCATTACTCCCTGATGCCACAAACTTATTTATTCCTTAATCTTCTTTCTCCAGATTTCTTTTAAGAAATTTTCCTCACCTTTTTATGTTCTTGCTCCATGTTTTCCACCTTCTCCTTTGAGAATGCTTGAAACAAACACAAACACAAAGAAAAGCAGTGTAAGGGGCATAGGGGTGGGGGCGTGTGGGGCTTTGGGGTGAAGTCCTGACTGTGTGTTTGGGACAATTGCCTTCTAGCTTCTGTGCCATTGAAGCATTTATAAAAGACAGTGAAATTCTATAGAAGAAAGGGCTCTCTCTCCCCTGCAGCCCTCTGTGAAGCAAGTCAGCTAGAGCAATGGTCATAACACGAGATAGCCGCACTTGGGTCAGCACAAGCCTGCGTGAATACACTGACTTTCATTCAAGGTTCGATAGCAGCACCCTGACCATGGCAGGCATTGGGAAGAGTCATGGAGAAATATGAGGAAACAAGGGTGTCCAGCCAGTCTCTGGGTGACTGAATGTCCCCCCCTGTAGGACACCAGTCCCAGGACAGCCGCTGCCATCGTGGTCACTGGTGACTCCACTTGTCCTGCCCAAGACCTCTCCAGTCTGAACCTGCCCCGGGAGTTACGGAGAGCAGTCTCCTGAGTTGGCTGCCACCCGGGCGAGGGTTTCTCAAACTGGTTTTTCTGCTCTGTCAGAGACTGCCATCTTTCCATGTGGCCCAGAGCTGGTGAGGCTCCCACAGCCTGGAAATCCCCAGGATGCCTGTTGAGACCTGCAGGGCCAGTGCAGGAGCTATGGCCGATCCAAGGATGCCACCAAAGTGCACGGAAGCCAACGCCACCCTCCATGGGGGCTGGGGCAGGAGTTGCTCGGGCCAACTCCCGGGATGAGGTTTGCTGGTCGTTGCTGATGCGTGTTTGTGACGTGTGCCTATGGCATTGGTCTTGGGGGTCATTATCTCAAACACAGTCATTATACAATTGGTCAGCGTGAGTTGTCTGCTTTATTACCAACGGGAACAGAAGCCCCTGGACACTTCTGTCAAAGGCATGCGAAGACCAGGCCAAGTTCAGGAGATGCCGAGTTTCCATCCACCAGAGGGGACATACAGGGTCCCCAGAGAAAGCCAGAAGAGTGTCCTTCAGTGAGCTGGGGCCTCTCCACACTACACCACATGAAAGAAGATAGACCTCTGAATGAGACCAACCAGGAAAAGACGCCCTGAGCATGTCTCAGAGCTCGGAGAGTTTAGACAAAAGCATCTATAAAGTTTCCAATTTATGTGTGAAAAAGCTTGCACACACATTTCTTTATGTCCACAAGGTTTGGTAAAATATTAACAACTTTCTTGAGCCGATGGGATTTTAGGTACCCCAGTGTTTTACAGCATTGAATTTTTTATTTTTACAATGAATGTGTAGCTTTTCTGTGAAATCACATGTATTTTTTTTAATGTCATGAGTGCATCCTTTTAGATATTATACAATGAAGTAAAAAGGCATGGTGCAGATCAGGAGCTGGTAAGCTCTGGCCACAGGCGCAAAGGACTTCCTGTTTTTATAAATAAAGTTTTATTGGAACACAGCCACATTCATCTGCCTGTGGACTATGGGTACTTTTGCTCTACAAGAGCAGAGCAGAGCAGAGCAGAGCACAGCAGAGCAGAGCAGAGCACAGCAGAGCAGAGCAGAGCAGAGCACAGCACAGCACAGCACAGTACAGCACAGCACAGCACAGCACAGCACAGCACAGCACAGCAGAATAGAATAGCTGTGAATAGCTGTGACAGATTGCTCAGCCTAAAATATTTCTCAGTTTCTGTAGAGAAAACATGTGGCAACCTCTGACATGGGCAGTTGGACCATAAAACATTTTCAGTAAGGCAAATTGCAACTGATGTTTTACCTGTTGCTCTGATTTCAGTGTATCTAAATTTCTACTTTTAAAACAATATTGCCTGAATATTTTAAAGTACTTTTCAGTTCTGAGGTGTGATTGTAATAAGTGATTGAAGTGAGGATGCTAGAATTTGGTCATTAAAGTCTCAGCGTAGAGAGCTCATCCTGCTGAGCTGTGGTTTCCACTTATTGGCAAGGCACTTGAGGGAGGACCGCAGGGAGG